GACAATTTAATCAGGATATTCAACTTGACTTCATATGACATAAGAACATTGCATAATCAATGTTCCCATCAGTTTCCAGATTTCTAATTGCTGCTCCTAACAGATTTTGATACCTGACTTAAGCTTCAATTCACAAAGCTGATAATGCCAGGAAAACTTTCTCCAAACCTTTCTGTCCACAAACCAGGAAAAAAATATGTAATAACAAAAGTGAGCTGATGTTTGAAGGGATTTTGTGCTAGAGTTTGAAGATTACACTGTATTCACAGGACATAACTTAGAAACCACTCATCAAAAACGTGATGTCCAACATTTAAATCTGAAAGCAGCAAAGATATAGCCAACTGGCAATTCAATTTCCTAATTTAATCAGGGATTGGTTTGCAAGTTCATATTTAATGAGAATAATTTACTGTGAACAGGCAGCATGCAGGAAAGAACTCTTTTGATGTTTTTAGATAACTCAAAAGTAAACTCTGTAAAAGTATATTTAAAAACACTTTACAAACTAAGTATGACATTTAACAGAATCACCGTCTACATAACTGAATAACACTAATTTTCCAAAGTCTGTATCTTAGTTGAATGTAAACAAGTAAATACATTATTTTAGAAAGCAGTTTAATCTTAATGCAAAATTCCTCTCAGTTTTCAAAGGACTACACCCAAGCCTCCAGCATATCTCAATTCTAAAGAGAGTTAGCAATCACTTATCAGACATCAATGATTGTATCATGAGCACTGCAACTGTGGCTGAATATCTATGAGTTCATTTCTCAGTCAATCAAAATCTTGTTTTATTTATCAGATTATTTAATACTTTTAACATTTTATTTTCAAAAGAAAAATGTGTAAATAACTTAAGTGAAAAAAATAGTATTTCCTAAAATCCACTGACATTCAACAAAATTTGAAACATTGCACATTTATGTAACTATTAACAGAAGTTATTGGCAGAATCCAGCAATTCCTCCCTGAAAATCCCCTTACACCCAAAGTAAAAGTTATAGGTTCCAATAGGACCTTTCCCATCAAAAAAAGGTATGTTCTGTAAATTTAAATACAGATCATTCCTCAATACCTTTATGAAATAACAGCGTATTTTTAACTCTTGCTACTTGCCTCCTACTCACTGCCTCTCCCACAGGGATTATGAGCAACTAGAGACTAAATGAGAAAGTTTAGTCAAGAGAAAATTGGTATAGGGCAAATAAGATTGGGGAGTCGATTGTGGCAGATTCATTGAGCTTTGTTACCAGTATTGGGGAAGGTCAGGGTAATCTTCACCTGAACCATGCTAAGACTCAAGAGTGTACTAGAACATAAGGCCAGAATTTGCAAGAAAATATAAAGGCAAATCTTAACACACTTAACACACCAGAAAGCATACAGTATTCAAATCATAAGAATTGAGAGCACAAATCAAAACAGGTACGAATGATCAGTAGCCATTTCAGAGATGGTTGTGGGCTGAAGCCTAGAACAGTCAAGGGTATTTTACATTTCAGCAGGACAGGAGGCTAGGAAATGGTGGTGGGATATCTTTAAATTTGGAGTTACATTAGTATAATGGTGAGAGATTATCTTAGTTCGGAGATCAAGGTGTAGAATGAGTTTAGGAAGAGGAAGAAATAGCAAAGGAGTTACTTGTTGGGAGCAACTTATAGGCTCTCAACAGTAGCTACACTGTACAACAGAATATACATAAGAAATAATGGAACCATGTAGAGAAAGGTAGTGCATTCATCACAGGTGATTTTAATTTTCATATAGATTGTGCAAATCTATCTTGGCAAAGGAAGCCTTGCAGGTGACATCAGTGTTTTCAGGACAATTTCAGGCTGTATGTTTTAGGGCCAACCTAGCAAAATGCAACAAGTCAAGATTAATGAATGACCTCAAAATAAAAGAGTAATTAAACAACAGTGATCATAACACAACGAATTCCATAATCAGTCTGATGTGAGAAGAGAGTTTTAAACTTAAATAAAGGCATAAGGGTATAAAGACGTATTGGCTCAAGTGCACTGGATAAATAGGTTAAAAAGGTAAGACAGTAGAGAAGCAGAGACAGTCATTTAAAATCCTTCATGACTATCAGCAAAGACATATTTCATTGGGAAGGAAAGTCTGTGAGAAGAATGTACTATGCATGGTTAAATAAGGATATTAGTAATAGTATAAAATTTAAAGAAAAAGCATAATTAATGCAAAAATTGATGGTAGGTCAGATGAATGAACAGACTTTAGAAACCAGTAAAGAATGACTAAGAAAATAAAGTCAGAAGTCACATGACACCAGGTTATAGTCCAACAGATTTATTTGAAATCACAAGCTTTTGAAGCGCTGTTCCTTCAGCAGGTGAAGTGACGAAGCAGCAGCACTCCGAAAGCTTATGGTTTCAAATAAACCTGTTGGAGTATAACTTGGTGTCACTTAACTTCTGGCTTTGTCCACTCCAGTCCAACAACGGCACATCCATAACATAGCTACCTAAGAAAATAAGGATTGAGAAATTAGTAATAGAAATTTTCTAAATCCACCTTTATCAACTTGCCCCGTCATACCTTTGTTTGTTCAGATTTAAGACTCTAGTTTCCTAATCAATTATACCATTTCCAAACAATATAAAATTTAGTCACATTGTGGTCACTATTCCCCAAAAGGTTCCTTTACAGTACGATTGTTAATTAACCCTTTCATGTTACATAACATAGCTCATTTTCAAAGTGCTCTTCAACACACTGCTGCAAAACCCAATTTTGTACACACATCAAATACTAATTCTTCACAGTATTAGTGCTGATCTGAGTCTGTGTAAATTAAAATTATTAAAAATTACCCATGTTACAGGTGTATCTAATTTCCTGATTTGTATTGTACCCAACATTGCTACTACTGTTCATGGCCTATAAAGCCAAAACTGATTCTACATCTTGATCCTTTGATCAAAGATCCTCTCTCACCAAGTACTGATCTCATCCCCTTTAATGCGTCCATTCTCATTTTCTCTTATGCCCTTCCTTCCTAAATTACAAACATTCTTGAATATTTAGTTCTAGTCTTAGTCATTTCTAATCATGTCCCGGTAATCAATGCCAATTAAATCAGACCCATTTATCTCTATTTGAGCATTCAAATTATCAACATTGCTGCTTAGGCTTCAGATGCGTTCACAAACAGTTCCCCTAGCTTTATCTTTTTCTCATTATTCCATGTTCTGTACCTCTTTGATGCTTGCCTTTGTTTCTTCTGTATTTAATGTTGCTCGTTACTTTTCTACTTCCTGTTAACAATTTTGCCCTCCAATGTGAGCTTCTGCTCACCTTTCCATTCTTTGTCAATCTAGCTTAAACGCTCCACAGCAGCACCACCAATTCTCTAAAATGTTAGCATCGACTTTGCTAAGATAAATCCTGTCTTATACAAGTTCCAAAAACCCCAGAACCAGTACCATGTTATGGAAATCTGATGGCCTCCCTCCTACACCAATTCTCCAACTATGTGTTCAAATCACTTAACCCTCCCATTCCTGTGTTGCTGGCATGTAATACTGGGGAAACTGATTTTGAGGTCCTGCTTTTCAGTGTCTCGGCCCTGGCACCAGTGAGGCAACAAGCCACCCTACAGTCACAACTATGGCTGCACAAATCCTGTCAACTCCCCTGACTAACAAATTCCTCATTGCCGTTGCTCTACTATACTGCTTTCTCCACTCCTATGCAGCTAAGCAAATTGTGGCATCAGGGACTTGGTGCTGGCTCCTCTTCTCATCAGTTAGCAAAAGCCCAGTTAATGAACAAGATTGTCTCAGGGAATTCCTGCAGGACCTGCCCAGTTCTCAGACTGCCTAGTGTAACCTGATCCTTTGTCTTCAAGCTCATTACCTTGGTTTTGAGCAGAGTATTGCCTGCCTACCTGCAGAAATAATAGATGCATTGGGGGTGATCATCCATAATTCCCTAGATTCTGGAAAGAACCTGAAAAACCTCTTCTCAAGAGAGCAGGGAGGAAGAACATAAAGAAAAGATGAAGGGCTAGGGGGTAGGATGATGTGCCCCGGTCCCCGGAAAAGTAACAAAAATGGTTGTGAGGAGGATGCCAAGAGATTATAAAGGGGTGTAATGAAGTTAATGTGTTTTAAGATCTTTCAAAATGTGTTTTATATGTGGACAGCTTGGGTTTTCTATTGGCTTTCATTTTGTGTAATCAACTTCTGTTATGTTGTTGAAGAAACTGTAGTTTCAGGACTGTGTTTCGTGACTAGCCACCACATTATCTAAAATAATGTTTGATTTATCAAGCCAGATTCTGGCATTTGACTTGTCCAGTAGTACCATCAGCATAGATAACAAATGGAGTCGAGTATGAATCACTCTCAGAAAACAAAATTTTAAAGATATAGCTCTGTATCACATTTTCTTAAAAAGAGAAAAACATCCCTCAAAAGACTTCCTTCAATTTTGCCTGCAACTAAGACTTATTCAACTTTGCATCTGGTGGAAAACATACAAATGGAGACCAGGGTAGACCTAAGCAAGTAAAAAAAAACTTGAAATTACATGAGATATTCTTCCAAGGTAGTGCTAGGTTGAGTTGGAAGATACAGGTGAATGAAAAAATGGGGTGCTATATAATGTAATCACTACTTATCATGGCCACTGACTTCAATGATTGAATTAGTTAAATTCTGTTCCGTCAAATCAAGAGTGACAGACTAAGATATCAAACAATAAATTGGAAGCAAAAAATGAAACAAATACTTTTCAAGTAAAACAATGTCTTCGCTTTTCTTGCCACTTCTCTGCCCGTGTTCCTTCAAACTTCCTGTCTTAATTGTGTTTTACCCTTCCAACAAATGTATACTTCAAGCACTCCTCTGGGTTATTTGATTTGCTGTTTTTCAAACAAAATAACAAAAAAGCTTGCCTCAAGGTATTAGAGTAATTTTACAGCAGTTAATAGAACATCAACAGCCGACAATATCTAGCATTCTTACCTCAAATATAAAAAGGATAGAATCCAATTCTTCCCTCTGTGATTTGTGACCTGGAAGATAAAGTACATCAAGTTGATACCATGTAATCTAAGATATTCCAACTGTGCTTGTCCCTACAAGAAGTGAATTTCACAATACAAATTTCCAAAACAATCAATGAAAATAATTAAAGAACTGGATTGACATTTTAAGATTTTTACTGAAAAAAACATTTTGCTTGTTAAGTTGCCTGTTAAATAAAGAAAGGTAATGCATTTGAAATAGGTCTGACAACCTTTTTGGCTGCACACTGCATTCAGGTTGATAGGTAGCACTAATGAGAACAAATACAAGCTTACTCTCCGTTCTCCAGCAGACTCACCCTGCTGCACTGGAGCACAACATGTAGTGTCCCAATCCACTTCCATCACCAAATCCACCTCAACAAGTACATGTTCCTAAATCTCCAAAAAAAGGTCCTGTCCTGCTACAAAGCAGAAAGTCCGGAGAAACTCAGCAGGTCTGGCAGCATCTATGGAAGGGAAAAAAAAACTTCAAGTCCAGTGACCCTGCATCAGAATCAAAGTACTGAAAGTTTATCACTGCTTTTCTAGTTAGGACCAACTGAACTGTTAGACTTTATTTAGAGCAAAACAAGAAGAATATCAGACATATCTGATGGGGCCTCCAGGTCCCATCAATGAACTAGATTGGCAGATCGATCTGATGATGGGTCACTGAAATCAAATCAGAGCCCCTTATCCACACTCGCTGTCTCCTGCCCACAAGTCAATATACTACTTCCAACACGAAGGGCTCTCATCTTATGACTTAACCTTTTGTGAGTTACCTTGTCAAATGCCTTCTGGAAGTCCAAATACAACACATCTACTGGCTCCCCTCTATCCACTCAGGTTGAGACTTCCTTCAAGGACTCTAATAAATTAGTCAGTCACAATTTCACTTCCGTGAAGCCACGGTGACTCTATTTGATGAGATTATGATTTTCCACATGTGCTGCTGTTACTTCTTGAATAATTGATTTTAACAACAGATGTAAGGCTGATTAGCCTATAGTTACCTGCTTTTGGACTCCTTTCTTTGAATAATGGTGCAACATTAGTAATTTTCGAATCTCCCAGTGCTTCTCCAAAATCCATGATTTTTTGGAAAATTAAAACCAATTCAACCACTATCTCTGTAGCCACTTTTAGGATTCTAGGATGCAAGCCGTCAGAGCAAGGGAATGTAACTGCCTTTAACCTCATTACTTTGTCTCAAAATCAGTTCTTTAGTGATGGTGATGGTACTTAATTCCCACCACCCCCCCCACCCCACCCCGACACACCAACACCCCACTTAATGATAAGGGGATGTTCAAAGTATATTCTACCGTAAAGACTGATGCAAAATATCTGTTAAACTCCTCAGCCATTTCCTTATCCCCCAAAAGTATCTCCCCAGATTCATTTTCTAAGAAATCTATGTTGACATCGACCTCGCTCATCTTTTTTATTTATTTAAAAGAAGTGAATGCTTCCAAGATTCTTAATGCTTCAGGTTGAGAAGAAATTTTTAAAATATAACCTTACTATAAACTATTGGTAATACTCCTACTACCTTCGCAAACAAAAATTAAACGTAAAAAAAGCATGATCATAGTGTTATGGAAAAAGGAATCAACACTATCAAAACAAAAATCGCAAAATTGTGAACATTTCAACCATCTTACCACAAACACTACAGGTAACATTTGTGTCCCAGCAGGACTGGCAGCATTTGTGGAGAGAAAGCAGAATTAACATTACGGGTCCAGTGACTCTTCTTGAGTTTTGAAGAAGGGTCACTGAGCCTGAAAAGTTAACTCTGCTTTCTCTCCACAGATGCTGCCAGACCTGCTGATTTTTTCCAGCAATTTTTGATTTTGTTTCTGATTTCCAGCATCAGCAATTCTTTGGCGTTTTGTAACATTTCACCATTAAACATCTTGCATCTGAAACATAAAACCATAAGAAGTAGGTGCAGAACTAGGACATTCAGCCCACTGATCCTGCTCTGTCATTCAATGAGATCATGGTTGAACTGGTAAACCTCAATTTCGCTTCCTTGGCTTACCCCATAACACTAGATTCCCTTTCTGACTAATAATCTGACTGTCTATCTCAGACTTTTGAATATACTTATTGACACAGCCTCATCAGCCCTCATTGGTAAAGAATTCCACAGATATCACTACGCTAAGTGAAGAAATTGCTCCTCATCTCGGTCTTAAATGGGTGAACCTTTACTCAGATCATGCCCTCTGGTTCTAATGGGAAAACTCGGACAAAGGGGAAAACAAACTCTCTACATCTACCTGTCAAGCACCCTAAGAATCTTGTATAGTTCAACCAGATCATCTCTGATTCTCTTAAACTCCAATGAATACTGGCCCAACAGTGAGGCTGAAGCCACGTGGTCTGGAATGGCCGTACAGACAGATGAAATAAATGACACAGAGTCGAATAAGATAAGATTAGTAGAACAGTCAGGCTGAGGCCGTGTGGTCAGGAAAGGGCATCCAGACAGGAAAATAAATGAACGGTGGAACTAAATGAACACCTTCCTTTGATCCTCATTCTTGGAGCTGCCAAGGCCAAAGCTCTTGGAGATCAAGTAAAGGGGTGAATTGAAACGACACACATAGACAAAATATAGGTTTTAGAAAGAGAATTGTGAAAAGTATAGATGCTTAAAAATGTTCAAAGATATTAATGCCTGGGAATCAGCAGAATTTTCTGATTTCTGTTAAGAATATTGAATTACGAGAAGATAGAAACAGTAAATGTGCTTCTTTCTGAGAGCATAGTACAATTGATAGGAATAAAATAAATATCTACAAGTTGGATGCCGGATACAGTTTAAGGAAAGAAAGCTGCAGCATCTTTAAGTTTAGAAGTTAAGCATTTGTGTCAAAGTACTAGTAATTAAGAATTAGCAATAATTTCTTTTAGAGAATGTAAAGATCAAAATAATCTTCAGGTGGAAAATACCATCACAGATATAGATAGTGACCATCCACATCTTCAGGTGTGGAGGAGAGACGAAATAAGGCCTTTGAAAACAAATTGTAATGTTGGGTACAGATTGGAACACAATGTGATACTACACTCAGCAGGATAATATTGATTTAGTCATTAGGTAAGCTTTTAGGGTTTTATATGATCATATGATAGCGTGAAGTTGAAGGCTGTACATCATCTCAGGAGGAGGACGTATACAGCATGAGATAATAATTAAGAAATTAGTGGAAGCTTCTGAACTACCACTCGAGACAACAGCGATAAAATCACGACAGAAGGGAACAGATGTTGAGTGACAGGGAGGCAATGGCCTAGTGGTATTATCACTGCACGGTTAATCCAGGGAGCCAGGAATGTTCCAGGGACCTAGGTTCCAATCCTACTATGGTAGATGGTGGAATCCGAATTCTATGCTTTTTTGTTTTTTTTTAATTAAGAGTCTAATGATGGCCATGAATCACTGTTGATTGTCAGGAAAAACCCAACTGGTTCACGAATGTCCTTAAGGGATGGAAACTGCTACCCTTAGCTGGTCTGACCTACATACAACTCCAGACCAACAGCAATGTGGTTGACTCTTAGTCACAGAGTCGGAGATGTACAGCATGAAATCAGACCGCTCAGTCCATGTCGACTGGATATCCTAAATTAATCTCGTCCCATTAGCCAGCATTTGGCAGATATTCTTCTAAACCTTTCCTAATCATGTGCCCATCCAAATGCCTTTTAAATGTTGTAACTGTACCAGCCTCCAATACCACCTCTGGCAGTTCATTCCATACACGCACATCCTTTTGCGTGAAAATGTTGCCCCTTACATCCCTTTTAAATCTTTCCCCTATCACCTTAAACCTTTGCCCTCTAGTTTTGGATTCCCCACCCTGAGGAAAAGACCTTGGCCATTCACCGTTTCCATGCCCCTCATGATTTTATAAACAACTATAAAGGTCACCCATCATCTTTGACACTCCAGGGAAAGTAGCCTCAGCCTATTCATCCTCTCCCCATAGCTCAAACTCTCCAACCTTGGCAGTGTCTTTGTGAATCGTTTCTGAACCTTTCACATTTCACAACATCTTTCCTAAAGCAGGGAGGCCAGAATTGAATGCAGTATCCAAAGTGGTCTAACCAATATCCTGTACTGCCTCCCAACTCCTATACTCAAATGCACTGATCACTAAGGGACAAGCATGCCAAACTCCTCCTTTGCTAGACAACAAGGTGCAGGGCTGGATGAACACAGCAGGCCAAGCAGCATCATAGGAGCAGAGAGGCTGAGCACCTCAAGCCGCACCTCCATCTCCTACCGACCAACCTCATCCCGCCCCCTTGACCTGTCCGTCCTCCCTGGACTGACCTAGCCCCTTCCTAACTCCCTACCTACACTCACCTTTCCTGGCCCCATCCCCGCCTCTTCGACCTGTTTGTTTCCTCTCCACCTATCCTCTCCTCTATCCCTCTTCTATCTGCGAACCCTCCTCCTTTGCTATCTTGTTTACCTGCAACTTAACTGCCCTTTGGGCAATTAGGGATGGACAATGAATGCTGGCCTAGCCAGTGACACCCTCATCCTATGAATGAATTAGACAGCTAAAAAGGAAGCCCAATCATGCCCTAAGAATCAGGTAGTAGAAGTAACTGGGGTGGAGAAAAATAAACATGCCAAATTTACACTGGGGTGCGTGAGGTGGAGATAAGGCAGTGGAAAGAACAAACAGCAGTAACACGCACTGAAAGAATTTAGTGAAAAGCAGATAGCACCATGCATTCAGCATAACCTCATGAAAGTACACCACAGAAATGCACACTATGGGAGGGAAGCCATGTTGTGGAGTACCATGTGGGATCTAACAAAGAAAGACCTGTCAAGGTTAGGTGAAAAACACATAATGTCTACAAAGACTGTGGTAAACAAAGATAAAATGGGACACAAGGATACTAAATGTGGGAATTGAAATATGCATGCTGTAATCAGTGTAAAGCCTGAAGGAATGCTACAATTCAGCAGA